GCATTTCAAAGCATGAAACAAGGCGGAGGGCCGACAGGAACCAGATGAAAGCTGCCAGAGTGAAAGGGATTAGGACTGGGAGTGGGGTGAGGGAGGTGTGGACAGAAAGATTGCTGCTTCTCTTTCTGCTTGTTCTGTGATTCTGTAGCATCTCTCCTGAGAGACGGGAGGATAAAACCCTCGTAGAGTCCCCCCTGGATCATATAGGGTCAAGACCTGTTTGATCAGAGACTTAGAATTCAAAGAGAAAAGAAGAAAAGACGATGAGTGGCAGACGATGGGTTTTGGGAGGAAAACAAAAAAAACTGGATGAAGGTGGGGGTTTGAAGCAGAAGGGGGGTGTTCAAAACGGCAGTTATGGGAAGGGATGTTTCCCAGTCATCATCGTCGTCCAAGGCGAGCTTGGGCGGTACATTTTCACGTCTCCAAAAGGCACCAGGGTTGGTTTCATGTGGCAAGAATAACAGGCGTCAGCAGTTGTTGGTGTGTGTGTCTGCAGCTGTTGAGAAGACACACACACTCGCAGAGGACGAAGCAGACGCAGCGTGTCGCTCCCATATTGATGTTCTCAAATGGAGGGCTTTACATCATAAGCTTGATATTGATTACATGGACCACAAGATGTATGAGTGACACCGGATACTCCGGCCATATGTCCGCATGAAATAACGTGACCATCAGCCCTCCTCCTACACACTGACACATACATGTAACAGCTTATCTCCCCTGTTGTGGAATGAAATGTTATCCTCATAAAGACCCCTGTAGTTTGAGTTTCACCCAAAGGAACTGGGTGCTGACAAAGATTTTAAAAGATCTATAAATGTTGGTGTCTTAGACCTGAAAAGGGCATTTGGTACAGTTTTAAAGATGTATTTCACAACAACCTCATTACTGGTTCAATTGGAAAATAAGGACTACGAGATTGGCCTCCCCCTAAAAAACTGGGTGTTCCACAAGGTTTAGTTTCAGGACGTATGTAAGTTTTGTTTGTAATATATGCAGGTGACATAATCCTAATTTTATTTGCAAAGTCATGTTTTCTGTACATGATATAATTTTGATGTCCTTTCTTATTGTGTAACTTTTTGGTACTAAGCAACCCAATCAGTCTTAAACCCTGGGGGTGTTGTTATACAAACAAGTACTGAGATTTTTAGATCAAAAGTCAATGAAGTGGCACTGCACCGCACAGAAACAAGTAGGATCTATTTAGCTTCATGACCCTTCATGACACAGGGGAGCATGTACCCAAGGTGGAAAGGATATTCATCCCTGTTTGAAGCTTTAGTTTATTTTTAAAGTAAAATTAAATTTTTATGGCTGGGATGAGGATCAGTTCCTACAAATCCGAGGCCATGGTCTTGAGACAGCAAAGGGTAGAGTGCCTTCTCCGGGTCGGGGAGGAGGTCCTGCCCCAAGTGGAGGAGTTCAAGTATCTCGGGGTCTTGTTCACGAATGAGGGAAAAATGGAGCGAGAGATTGATAGGCGGATAGGTGCAGCATCTGCAGTGAAGCGGGCGCTGTACCGGTCTGTCGTGGTGAAGAGAGAGCTGAGTCAAAAGGTGAAGCTCTCAGTTAACCGGTCGATCTACGTTCCCACCCTCATCTATGGTCACGAGCTTTGGGCTGTGACCGAAAGAACGAGATTACGGATACAAGCGGCCAAAATGAGTTTTCTCCGCAGGGTGTCTGGGCTCTCCCTTAGAGATAGGGTGAGAAGCTCGATCATCCAGGAGGGACTCAGAGTAGAGCCGCTGCTTCTCCACATCG